GACGAGGACGAGGAGGAGGGGAGGAGGAGGAGGAGGAGGCGGAGGTTGAGGAGGAGGAGGAGGAGGAGGAGGAGGAGGAGGAGGAGAGGAGGAGGAGGAGGAGGAGGGAGGGGGGGGTCTTCGCCACGGCGAAGGGGGCCTGCGCGCGCTCCATTACGGCTTCTGGGGGCTGGTGTGGACGGGAGGATCATCAAATGGCTGGGGCGGGTGGTCATGGGGGTGACCTAAATGGGGGGTCAAGGAGCCCCTTTTTGGACCCCTGCTGACCCCCCCTTCGGGGCCGCGGCGCCAAACAGTGTGTGTGTGTATGTATGTATGGTGAGTGTGTGTGTGTGTGTGGTAAGTGTGTGCGTGTGTTGTGTGTGTTGTGTTATGTTGTGTTGTGTTCAGTTGTGCTGAGTTGGTTTGGTTTGTTTTGTGTTGTGTTCGTGTATATATATGTATATGTATGTATACACCTATCCATATACGTATCCCAGGATCGTTGGGCACTCCCAGTCGCCCGAGGGGGGGCGCGAGGTGACCGCGTCTCTAGGTCACCGCGGCCTGGACCAGAAGTCGGGCGCCCATCTCAGGGGAAACGGCGCGAGGGCGCGACGGCAGCAGCGCGGCGTGCGTCGCGGGCATGTGTGACCTGCCCGAACTTGTTGACGCCGTGGTAAGCCGAAGAAGAACAACAAAAACATTCACACAAACTTTTGGCGCTCCGCGCGGCTTTCTTGGATCCGAGCGGGGCCCCCCGGCGGCGCCTCTGGCGCCGCCCCTGGCGCACGGAGCGCGCCAGGGTGGGGGGATCCAGCGCAAATCCAGGAAATCCGCGCGGAGCGCCACGAGTTCATGCTGATGTTGCTTTCTCTTCTTCCAATGTGCAGGCGTCGGGGGGCCCAAGCAATAAGCTATTGCACTGCGGATGCGCGAGCTGTGCGGTGGCCCTCCCAGAGCACGAGTCGCAGGGCTGGACATGAACGGTGTGTTTGGTGATTTCGTGGGCCGTTTTCGTTTCGGCTTCGTTTTGCGGTAGAGAGAGGCGGATTCGAGCCAGAGGCGGGGGACAACGACGACAGAACGACAATGAATAACGAACAAGACGACAACGACGACAACGACGACAAGACGAACACGAAAGACTTCGTGTGGGTTCAGCCCTGCTCTGGTGCAGAAGTCGCGTGTCCGCGGGCGTCGGGGGGCCCAAGCACTGAGCTGCATTGCCCTGCGGCTGCGTGAGCTGTGCGGTGGCCTGCCCGGGGCACGAGGCGCCCAGCGAGGCGCGCAGGAGGCACCCCCAGGGGCGGGCACCACGGGGCGCGAGGCCTCGGCGGACCCGCCCAGACGGAGCGCGGCGTGCGTTCCGCCCCGCGCCGCCTCCTCCTCCTCCTCCTCCTCCTCCTCCTCCTCCTCCTCCTCCTCCTGCTCCTCCTCCTCCTCCTCCTCCTCCTCCTCCTCCTCCTCCTCCTCCTCCTCCTCCTCCTCCTCCTCCTCCTCCTCATCATCCTCCGTGCCCATCGGCGTGGGATCTCGCTCGGACGTGTGCATCTTTCCTTCGGTGGGGACCATCGAGCAGCATCCTCGATCATCTTGGCGAAAGAACCGTGCACGAAACCAGACAATCACAGGGAATGGACTTCCGAGCGATGGCGAGTCGGTCCTTGGAAGTGGGCCGTGAGCCCAGACCTCGGGCGTCTCGAAGCAATCGAGGCGCAGGCGTTTCCTAGTTTTTGGCCTCTCGGGGCCCTCGCCGGGCCTCGCGAGACCGTCAAAGAACGACTCGGGACGAAAAACGGGCCACGGGGAAGTGGCCGGGAGGTCGGAGGCCCGTGTCTCGAAACCATCGAGACGTCGGGTGTCTGGGAGGGGCGGGCGGGAACCCAATCTATTTTCAACGCCTTCCCACTTCATGCTTCTGCCAACTTTTTCTGGCCGGTGGGCAAGTCTGTACTTTTGCAGTCTGGTGTTCTTCTATCGTCTCATCCTGCTTACCCCGCCTCCACCTCCCGCCAGAGAGGTTGCGGGGGACCTGTCCGATAAGTTCGGCTTCCCCGGCCCGCAGATCAAGGGGGCGATGTTCTACAGCAAGAACCAGGCGGGGGGGGGGGATGAGGTGGGACAAGGGGGCGGGAGTTGGAGGAGAAGGAGAGGGGGGGAATTGGGGAAGGATGGGGAGGAGGGGGTGGAGGAAGGGGCGAGGTGGTTGCCAAGGCCTTACGGGCCCACTCCACCGATCTTGAGAAGAGAGAGCAGCTTGGACGCAAGAGGCGCGAAGGGCGACGAGGCCCCAAGAGAGCCCCAAGAGAGCTCCAAGAAGGCCCCAAGACCGCCCCCAGACCCCCTAAAAGAGCTCCCAGAGAACCCCGGGACCCAGAGATTTCTCTGTTCACCCTGGTTGTTCACTTCGTTTCACTAGATCTGTCTCTTCGTTCCTTTTCCTGTCAGCTCTCATGGGCAGGGCTTCGGAATGGGCTGGTGGTAATCTGTTTGTGTATCGACGAGGGGAAGTACGGATTCGCCCCTCTTCCCCTTACCTCCCGAGGTCGATCTCCTTCCACTTCGCTGTCGGGTCTGGCTGGCCCGATCCCGTGCCGAGATATTCCGACGATCTCGTGCGTTACGTTCTTCTTCGCACGGCGTCGTTGTGCAGCATGGCGGGGCCGATCCGATCCGATGCCGACCCCGTGCCGGCGCGGCCCGATGCTATCCGCATTCCCGACTCGGGTCTGATTGAGCCGGCGTTGTCCCGAGCTTTTTCAGGCCACTTGGGAGCCCCTGAGGCGTCCTGGGCCTCGTGCTAAGTCGGGCCTGTCCCTCTCCAGGGGGAAGGTTGAACAAACTCGTCCAGAAACAGTCTGGGGATGATTCTTTGAGTATTCTTTGGACCATGTGCGAGTATTGTTTGAATTGTTTTAAGTGTTCGCCCCAAATCCCCCTGTTGGGGGTCAGGCCCGATCTAAGTTTCGTGAGAGGTGCTCTGGGGGCCAATCTAGATCTCCCCAGGGATCCTGGGGACGCTTGGGGCCAGGACCGTCCCTGGCAACACCCGGAGAAAGGAACAGGGCGGCGGAGGAGAGAGGAGGGGCCGGAACGAGCGAGGATAGGAATCTCAAGCGGTGGCTAAGCGTCCTGGCTCGCCTCTATGCCTTCCAAACAATGTTCTACGAAACTTGTGGTTACCACGAGATGTTTTTAGAGCATTTCTGGCTGGGACTGTCTTGTTTGAGCGCATCGGCCTTATTTTCTAAGAACATTGTTTTTGCTCTTAGAACAAATCTGGGTTCTAAGAACATTGCGTGGCAGGCCTGTAGGAATACCGGGACGGTTGGTCCCCGCTCAAGAATAGGACGAGGGGAGAGGGGGCCAGAGGGGTTAAGGAGGTGAACGGGGAGCAGCATTGGGGAATATACCGGCCCCCGACGTAGCGATTTCTTTATGACGTGGGCCTTGCATGTATGGACCTTTTTCCCAGTGCCAGTCATCCCGAGGTGCTTTTTTTCTGGCGGTCCCAGGACGCCGTGAGGACCCCCGAGGCAGAAGATTTGCAAAATACGTCCCTCGTGCTTGTTGCGCCGCAGCGAGAGGAGGTCATGGGGCGGGCGGAATCCCAGTATCTTCTCAACGCCTTCCTACTTCATGTTTGCACCCACCTCCTTCGAACGAGGGAGACGAATAGGAAAGGGAAGACGAGGTAGTGGAAGAGGGGAATACTGATAAGGACCAGGAGCAGGAGGAGGTAGAGCGGAATGAGGAGGAGAAGGAGGAGGAAGAGGAGGAGGAGGAGGAGGAGGAGGAGGAGGAGGAGGAGGGAGGAGGAAGAGGACGAGATCAGGAGGACGAGAGGAGGAGGGAGGAGGAGGAGGCGGAGAAGGAGGAGGAGGAGAAAGAAGGAAGGAAGGAAGGAAGGAAGGAAGGAAGGAAGGAAGGAGGGAAAGAAGGAAGGAAGGACAGAAGGAAGGACGGAAGGCAGGAAGAGGAGGAGAAGGGAGGAGGAGAAGGAGGAGGATGGAGGAGGAGGAGGAGGAGGAGGAAAAATAAGGAGGAGGAAGATTGAGGACTGAGGGGGAGGAGCGACGAGCGAGGAGGAGGATTGAGCGGCGAGGAGCGAGGAGCGAGGAGGAGGAGGCGGAGGAGCGAGGAGAAGGAGGAGGAGGAGGAGGAGGAGCGAGGAGGAGGAGGAGGAGGAGGAGGAGGAGGAGGAGGATAGAGGAGGAGGAGGAGGAGGACGAGGATGAAGAAGGAGGAGGAGGAGGACGAGGAGGAAGATGGAGGACTGAGGAGCGAGGAGCGAGGAGCGAGGAGGAGGCGGAGGATGCTCCCTGGTCCTGCCTGCTCCCCCGTTCCCCCGGGGGGCGCCCGCCCCCGCGCCAGGTCTTCGCGCGGCGGGAGCTGCTGCCCCTGCTCTGCGAGCTGGGCGGGCTGCTCAAGGCCGGCAAGCCCCTGGTGGCTCGGCGGCGCCTCCAGGCCTCGCGCGGCGCGGGGGGGGGAGATAATCGGCACGAGCGAAAGGGGTACCGTCGGGGCGCTGAAGAATGAACCCTTTTTGTTGGGGAGGGGCTCGGTGTTTCCTGATTGTGTAACAGTTTGCCTCAGGTTTTCCTGAGGTGATCCATGGGACGTCAAACTGTAACTTATGGGAAAAAGGGGTCTCGTTCCTTATTTAGGGTTGCTTAGGTCAACGACTGTACGGAAAGAATGGGCACACTGCCCAACAGCAGCTCCTGTTCATTTCAAACAGGACTCGCTGTCCGCGCCGCGGCGGCATGTGCCCACTTGAGACAGAAGGCCGCCTGTCCAACAGCGGCCGCTGTTGGTTTGGGACAACATTTGTTGTTGGGCATCATTGTATCCGTCTTTTCCGTGCCCATCTCTGGCGTCCAAAGATACTGCCAGGGGAAACAATTCAAAGAAGAAACAACGCCATGCACGCCATACACAAACAACGCCAAGTTTCTGTTTACGGCGTTTTTTATTTCTCTACTAACGACAGGACTCCCATTGCTCTGACCATGCGCACGACGAAGCTCGTGCACCCGACGACGAACACTGCAAGCACGTCGCTTTTCTCCAGTGGGGTGGTCTGCTGATCTGGGCCTTCGAACTGCCCTTCGGAGTGCTCCCCGAGGCTCTCCCTCACGAGCGGCGGGGCGGCCAAGAGCGTGGCATCGCTCGGATGTGTTCATTTTTGCTCGGCAAGGGCCATCGAAGAGCAGTTGGGAGCATCTTGTCAAAACATGCACGCACGAAGCCGAAACACGCACGGGAAATAGGCGTCCGAGCGATGGCGAGAGAGGGTGGTCATTAGGAGGGTTGATACAGGGCGGAGGCCACGATATCTACCCAGATTTCATGGCGCCGCCTATTATTTCAATACGTCCCAGGTCCCGGGAAGTCGGGAGCGGCCAAGAGGGGGTTCTCATTGGGTGTGTGTGGATATCAGAGCGGGGGCCATGATATTTCCCTAGCTTTCATGGCGCCTCCTCGTACCTATATGCGTCCTGTGCCCCCCCTGGGCTGCGCACATGCCGCTGGTCATGATTTGCGCCCCCAACTCTTGGACGCCCCTCTTTGGGATGCCCCCAGCGGGGCGAGGGGGAAAGCTTTCGTGTTCACTGGCTCTAGGAGGGAATCGACTAGGGGATCGATTACAGATTTGAAGAACCCCATCATTGATTTGTCTTGACGAGTCTATGGGACCAAAACGTATCATGTTCCATAGATCTACGGAGCATTCTACGTATTTTCTCCTAGTTTCGACGGAACATATCCATTCAGGGGTGAATTGAATGTGTAGTCGGTCCCCATACAGTCATCGGCCTGACCCTTAAGAGTTCAGTCGGGCCTGTCCAGAGGAGTCAACAACATAGTCTGGGGGCGATTGGTTGATTGTTGTTCGTGCTATTACATGTTCGGTGTTGTTCTGCGTATGTTTTACCCTTCGCCCCCCAACCCGCCTCTAGGAGGGCATGCCCGACCCAACTTTGGAGTCATGCCCCGCCGCAAAGACCCCTCGGGGTGGTGGTGGGGGCCACTGCACCTTGGTGGCAGGAAAGACGTGCACCCCCAGACCGGCAGAGAGAAGCCATGCGCCTGCAGCCTCCTCCTCCTCCTCCTCCTCCTTATCCTCCTCCTCCTCCTCCTCCTCCTCCTCCTCCTCCTCCTCCTCCTTCTCCTCATCCTTCTCCTCCTCCTCCTCCTCCTCGTGCCCCGCCGCAGAGAGCGCCCCTCCGTCGAACTCCTCTTCTCGAGGTGCGTCGACGCGCGGTCCTCCTCCCGCCCTCCTCGTCCGAGCCCTCCTCCGTCCCCCGTGCAGCCTCCTCCCTCCGCCCCCCTCCTCCCCCCAGGCTCCCTTCTCTCAGGCGATCGCAGGCATGGAGTAAAGGGGCATGGAGTAGCGACGGGCCCCGTTCCCATGAGAAATCGCGGATCTCCGCCGCCGGACGGGGCGGTACCAGCCGCATTTTGGGGAGGGCACCTCCCCCGATACATGGATGTGGCGACCGCGCGCCAGATCCACGGATCGCTAATCCATGCTTGCGCGCCTCCGATTTTCTCTTGCCCCCCATTCCAGAACTGAAGGGACACGTGCAAATGCAGAAAGCAAAGACGAAGATGCCGACGATGCACCGCCCTCTGCTTCCGTCATGCTGGACCTGATGTGACAGCACTGTCGTTTTATGTATTTTCCACGCTGGCCATTGGACGCTTGCCCTCCCATTCTTTCTCCCCCTCCCCAGCCTCCTCCTCCGCCACCATCGCCTCGCTCCCCCGTCCGACCGTGTCTCTCCTCCCTCGCTCTCTCCTCCTCGTTCTCCGTGCCCTCTCTCGCTCTTTCCTCCTCGTTCTCCCTCGTTCCTCCTCGTTCACTCCTGCCTCGTTCCTTCTCGTTCTTTCCTCCTCGTTCTCCTTCTCCTCACTCTTTCCTTCTCGTTCTCCCTAGAGTCACCTGGACCCCCAGACCCGTTGGAACACCCTGAGTCTGAATATCCTCCTTCTGCTCCCTAGTTGCTCTATTGTGTCTTCATTCGGCTGTCCTTGCCAGTAGGCATGGGGACATGAAGCCCCGATTCTTCAGAGGTGGACCTGTCCCGGATCGCTCGGCTGCAGGGCCCGATCCATAGTAGTGATTTGGAGGTGTGGCCAACTCTGACCAGCTCTGGTAGCGGTCATTGTCACCCTCCCCATCCCTTCCCCCTCGCTAAGTCGTCGGAAGCGGGACCGTGCGCGAGAGCCTTCCTTTTGCAAGGCGGGGACGCGCGCCAGTCTCAATATCAAGTTTGCGCCAGCATTCGCCCTGATGGAATGAGCGGGGCCTCGTGACTCGTTCGACATGGCAACTTTGACTCTTCTTCCTGGTTCCTTGCCGCGCGGTCGCGAGACGCCCGTCTGGGTGCAGGCGAACGCATGGCGAGGGTCGTCCCCTTTCCTTGCCGCGCGCGCAAGAGAGACGCCCGGGAGGTGTTGGCGAACGACTGGTGGGGCATCGCTGGCGGTGACGAGGTTGAAGGACCTTGACCAGTTTTCATTTGGAGGGGGAGACAAGAGGAGAAATGGAATTTGGATCGATGTGTCTAGTCTTTTGGGGGGTCAGGGGGGGCTGGAGGGAGAAGTCAGAGAGGACGAGGACGAGGACGAGGGGGTACACTTAGCACCCCTCAGTTGCGGACAAGAGTGAGGGGGCGGCGGGGTCGTCGGCAGCTTGCAAGGCTCTGAAGAAGCCCGTCGCAGGTGCTAATTGTTCAACCAAGTGTATAATGAGCCCGCCGCAGGCGTGGAATTTTTAGTCAAAGCAAGTGGGTGGGTCGCGGGTGGGTCGCTGGTGGGTCGTGGGTGGGTCGCGGGTGGGGCGCGGGTGAGTCGCGAATGAGTCGCGGGGTGAGAAGCGGGTGGATCGAGGATGAATCGCGGGCGGGGTCGCGGGTGGGACGACAACAACAAACAAGTAACAACAAGCAACAAAGAACAACCAACAACAAGAATCCGCACCGCGGACTCCCTGTTCAGCACACCCAGGGACAGTGAATGACCGTTCGCCCCCCTCACCCTGATGCGTGACAAGGGTGTCCGCGGTTCGGTCGGTTCGGTCGGTTCGGCTGCGTCACGGTGGGTTGCATTCGGTCGGATGCGGCGTCGTTGCCGCATCGTTGCGTCTTTTTCGGTTTCTTCCGGTAGATGTGTTTCGGTGGGTTTCGATTTCCATGTCAGTTCGGGTGGTTTTCGATTGCGCTGCCGCCGCGGAAGGCCTTTGGGACACTAGCATAGATAATGTGTGTTTGACATGCCTGACCTGGCGTGCCAGTATCGATATGTTCGCGGCCTCTGTGGGCATGATCAGGGCCATGTTGGAGTGGACTAAGGCGGTCGCCGCTTTTTGTTTCCTCTGTAGTACTTCTTACTGCAAGTTCTTGCAGTGCGGGATGCCAGGGGACCTCGTTGGCTGCCAATTGTCGATTCGGGAGTTGGTTGGCTCCGCGGAGCCTGCACAGATAAAGTGCTCATCCGCTGGGACTGTTCTTCGACATCCACAGCGGCACGGACACCAGCGTAGAGCGCCGTCTGTGCAAAGGCATCGCTCATGCTATTTTGAAGCACTCCAATGTGTTAGATGGTGGGCCTCCTGTTTGAAGGCAGCTCTTAGACTGGACTTGGGCCGCCATTGGCGTCAGCCCCATCTGGCAGCTGTCCTCGGCGTTCGACTCAGGCAGTCCTTGGCCGTCTGGACGAGAGCGTGATGCTTCATACTCCGTGGACGCGTCATTTTCTGAAGCGTCGGCTCCACGAGAAGCGGCCACTTACCACGGGGCTTAGCTCGAGGCGTTCGAGCATGCCCACAGGGGAAGGTGCTCGTGTCCTCGAGGCTCCACGAGAAGCGCCCACTCACCACGGGGCTCTGCTCGAGGCGTTCGAGCACGCCCACGGGTGAAGGCGCCCGTATCCTCGAGCGCCTCAAGGCTCCTCTGCCACGGCAGGCCGCCTCCGCAGCATCGGTGCCTCCTGGGTGCGGGGGGGGAGGAGGAAGAGGAGGGGGAGGGGGAGGAGGAGGAGGAGAGGGAGGGGGAGGAAGAGGAGGAGGAGGAGGAGGTGGAGGAGGAGGAGAAGGAGGTGGAGGAGGAGGAGGAGGAGGAGGGAGAGGCGGCCGCAGGCCGCAGGCATCGTTCACGCTGGAGGCATTGGGCCGTCGAAGCAGCGGGCAGCGTCTCGCCCCCCAGTCCCTGGGTCTCGAACCACAGTGCGAGCGGCGTTCACACGATCGCTCGTGGCTCCGCGCGGGTGTCTTTGCTGGTCGTTTTTGCTGGTCGCCCGTCGCCCAAAACATCCCGACTTCGGCCTCCAAGGGCCCTGCGTCCTTACCGACCATCCTTACTGCACGTTTTGACAGCGCGTTTGTGCCACTGGAGGGCGGGAATGCATCCTAGGGGAATGAGGCATGACATGAACATGACAGCTCGGAGGTCCGCGCCCGGGGGCGCCGCCAGGGGGCTCCAGCGCCGATCCGAGACATCCGCGCGGGCCTTGGAGTTTTTCTGTGTATGTCAGTCTTGGTTCCCCTAGTCTTGGATCGGCGCCGGGCCCGCCTGGTGGCGCCTCTGGCGCGCTCCGCGCACTAGGGAGGGGGGTCCAGCGCCGATCCGATTAGTTCGCTCGGACCTCTGAGACATTAAGCTTGTATAGTTGCTCTTCGTCCATATCTAGCCTTGTGGGCGACGATCAATGGAGAAGAGGCATGTTGGCAAGTAATTTTCAGATGTCTAAAGCACGTTGAAACCATGTCTTTAACATGTAGACCATGTTCTGAGCACTTTTACCACAGTCCAAACAGTATGAACACATGTCGAATCACATGATCGGATTTTTGGGTGCCCATTGTCATGACATCCACAAGTAATTGTTCCTCTTCCATTTCTGGATGGTAATTCGGGGATGCACCCCCTGTGTAATCTAGAGGCCTTCCTTGCGAGGATGGGCGCCCCCTCCCCCGTTGTATGTCCTCGAGTTGGGCTCTACCTGTCAGCTCCAGTCGAAAACCATTATACGTCCTCGAGATGGGCTCCAACTGTTAGCTGTAGTCGAAAACCTACAAAGGCGGGGATGGGGGGGCGCCATACCCCCGTCATGAAGTGTGCGTGCGTGAAGGGAGATAAGGGAGTTCCTCTTTTTGTGGGGCGAGTTTCCGCACGCCAGTCTCGTTGGTTGCGCGCAGCGGCGGCCTACCAGGAGGTAGGGTTCAGGCGTGAGCACACGTGCGTTGTGCTTGCAAAGGGATTTTGGTAAAGCACTTGCGGATGTCATCTGTGGCCATGCACTGTTCCCTAATGCACTGTTCCCTGATGCATTTCTGGTGCTGCCCTGCTGGAACATGGGGCTAGCAGGAAGGTCGTTGGTTCCTTTGCGCGCAGCAAAGTGGAGCGCGGAAACTGATGGCCGAAAGAGGTACTGCCGGCAGCTCATTATATGACACTCCGGGAGGTGAGCTCCATCTGCCACTCTGGAAGCAAGGCGCGCGCAAGGCAACATGCGCTTTGAAAATTGGATGATCGACGCCTCCATTCCGCTAGATGCTGCTGGGGGGCAGACTTATTTCATGTCGTGTGCAAGGGTGTGCACAGTAAACCAGTACCCTACTATGATAGTCCAGAGGGCGCTCCTCGATGGTGCCACGGTGAACATGGCGCTGCGTGTCACAAAAAAAACTCTTTTCTAACAGGCCACACTGCCAGGTGCCAGGCTTCTTAGGCCCGACATTGCGTTTGTCGGGCCGTAATAATGGATTGGATGGGGGCAGGGGGGGCTTCGAACTCTGCTGCATGCAGCTGGTTTCGGCCCCGCCGCCTTCCTCGATACATGGGCGCCTCGCGGCGCCAGGAGGTGCCAGTAGAACCAGCTACGTTAGCGGATTCTCGACCCTGACCTTTGTTATCCTACCTGTTCGTCCCCCCCCGATACTGGCGAGGAATGGGTGAGGCCAGGGGAGGACGCTGGACAGCAGAGCAAAGGAGGTGGCGGGGGGGGGCCGGAAGGAAAAGATGAGGGGGCGGGGAGAGCGCAGGAGGCAGGACGGGGAGCGTGCATTAGGGCACGCCCGGCTGGGTCGGAGAGGCGGTGGTGGCTTGGCGGGGGAGGAGAGACAGGTTCGGATGCAATTCCTGGGAGGTCAAGTTCTGATTTAGCCCTGGTCCGAAATCCGGCTTAATCCCGCTAAATCTGGCTTAATCCCGTCAAATCCCGCTTAATCCAGCGTTATCCCGCTTAATTCCGCTCAATCCGGTTGAATCCGAGGCCCACTCCAGCGTAGCAGCTCCCCAACGAGGCTTAATCCTAATCCTTCCGACGAAGACCTCCCAGTAGTGGCCTCCTAAGACAGGAGGGGGGGGAGAGTCGGGAGGGGTAAAGGGTCAAGGATATGTGTAGCACTCACCAGTTGCGGATAGGAGTGAGGGGGCGGGCGTGGGTTGGGTCGGGGGCGGGTCGCGGGCGGGTCGCAGGGTGGGTCGTGGGTGGGTCGCGAGTGGGTTGCGGGTGGATCGCGGGTGGGACGACGGCAATCACACCAGACATTTTCAGATTGTTCGCCCGTACCCGCGCGCGTGTCTTTCAACGCCCTCTTCGTCTTCGGTCGTGGCCCGCTCGGGGCATATCTTCCTCACCTGCCGCGTGTACTGGGCGCAGCCTGAAACAGGGGAAGAGAGGACGGATGGAAGGGAAGGGAGAAAGATGGCACACGGGATTAGCAGGAGGGGGGCTAGGAGCAGAAAGCACGTGGCAGAACCAGACGGGCCCATTGGGCAGGTAGACCCGCACGGGCGTGTCGGCCAGGCGGGCCCTGGCGGCCAGGTCGAGACGGCGTGTTGCTGAAGCGTGGGTATTGCATGAATCGCGAAGAGAGCGTGATTCCTGAATGTCGAGGGAGCGGCGTCTGAGTACATTGCGAGGATGTCCAACGCGAGAGCGCGATTCCTTCACAACTTGTGAGGAAGTGCCGTGCGAAGGCGCGATTTTGGAATACACTGTGAGGAAGTATTCGGCGGGAGCCGTTGTCATTGCTGTTTTGGAGGCGGGGGCCCTGTTTGGCGACACCGGGCTTCATGATCTAAAACATGGTGCGAGCCCCGAGGGGGGCAATTCAATTGAAACATATAACGGTCACCGAGGGGAGCAGCACTTTTTTTTTAAGAAGTGTAAATCCAGCAGCAGCAACAGTGTTCAATTTCAGATTGTTCGACCTTATCCGCTCATCACGTGCCATTCAACACGTACATCACAAACACTCGATACCCGCCTTCTCCGTCTTCGATCGCACCCCCTTGACCGTATATCTTTCTGTCCTGCAACCTGTATATCGTGCAGCCCCTACGGGCAAGGGACGGGGCACGGGGGAGGGAGGATAATGGAACACGAGAGGGAGTAGCAGGAGGGGGCCAGGAGCAGAAAGCACGCGGCATAATCAATCGGGCAGATCGAGCGGGTAGGCCCTGACTGGTGGGTCGGGAAGGCGGGCCCAGGAGACCAGGTCGAGC